GCTATCTACCGAATCACATCCTTTTCAAACCCAGAAAAAGAAATCGAACAATGCGTCCCTCTAGCATCATCACTTTCCTCTCGTTGGCGGTTCTGCCTGTTGCGCTGGCTAGTCCGGTTGGAAGTAATCAGGTACTATTATACTCTTTTCTCTTTTCTACTGCCTCTGTTATTACTATGTTTAATGTTAATCAATGTCATATGGATAGGACTCGGCCATCGCCAAACGCTGCTGCATCCTCTGCGACAATCCCTATGCGCGATGCGGAGCCAACGATAAGCGTGAAGCGGTCCAGACGGAGGAGGAAGTGTTTCATGGACAGGAGAAGCGGTGCTGTGTTAATTGCGACGTTGGTCGGTGTGGGAATTAGAGGGGAATGGTCTGTTGGGTTGTTGGGCGAGGTATTAGCTCTGAACTGTATTGGGGTGTGATTTGGGGTATGAATGGAGGGCCGGAGGCTTAAGGTATTGCCATTTATATACTATCTGTTAAGTTAATCATAGTATATAAGACATGGTGCTATAATATCTTAAGTATGGCTAGTTATGAGCTATCCACCAAGGGTGGTAGTTAGTTAGTCAAAATGATTGAAAGACTAATCGCAAGTTGAAGAGTCCATGCATGTGCCCAGGAGTGTCATCGGCGAGACCGAACACTGATATGGGATAGAATAGCCTACTCATCATTGCTCATACGCTGGTGAAGTAATATAACAGCTTTGGACCTGAGCTCTGGGCCAATAACTAGCCCATAATTTCCAGCGGCCACACACAACCTTATTACCATTCCGCCAACATGCTCCCGACTAGCAGGCGTATCTATTGCCCCTCTCCTGAAACAGTTAACATTCAGAGTCTTGGTTTACCAATTATCCACTTACGAAAGGCACAAGTGCGCCCCCTCGCAAGATGGTGTCCAATGTTTACTGTCCGTTTTGTGGGGTGATTTTGCTGCCCGACCCATATTGGGATGGTCCGGATACTCCACAGTCCAGCACCCGCCCTTGGTACGCACAGGTTCGGGGTATCTACTCGACCAATCCTGCCGTTGATCATATCAAAATTACTGGGGTAGGGGTAGTACGCGGTCGGAAAACCCTCCATGCACCACTGGACAGCAATCGAGTCTACGGCGAGGTAGCATCTGTTGCCCTGGATGAATGGAGGCTTTGCGAACAATCGGATAGCCAATGGTGTTTTGGATTTCACGAGTCGTGCTGGAAATTGCTCATTTTGAGTCTCAACCATGGGCGAGTCCGATCGCTATCTCAAACTGACGCCGCAATTGTTGAAATGGTATTCTACCAACTCTACTGCACTCCGTGCCTCGAAGCCTCCATCTTCCACTTCGGCCATGACTATGCGGGCGCTGCGCAAACACATAAAAGGTTCGGGCGGATACAGCCGGTGGATCTGAACTCCCATCTTTATGCTGACCCCTGTGCATTTTCGGTTATGAATTATCCGACTGATTCCAGTTCTGCTTCTGAAGAATCGGGGAGCAGTCCCGGGCGAATATTGTCGCATGATAACTCAACAGTAGGAAGCCTCGCAGAGGTTGGGGAAAGGAGGCACCATGCTTTCAGAAACCTCTCAACCGAGCTGCTGCTTGAGATCTTTTCCTATATACCCTTTGAACAGCATCTCACTCTGAGACTCGTATGTCACGATTTAGCGGTACTCGCAGATATGTCTATGCTCTCACAGTCGTATTGGCGGAGTAGATGCCTTCTCGGCCAGGAGGCTGACTTTGTTTTCCCTTGTCTTTCAGAATCACAAAATTGGTTCAGACTATTCTTCGCCACGAGGGCATCCTTAAAAGCTGCCACGCCACCACTGGTCAATCGAAAGAGAATCCGGGACCTACTGGAGCCCATCGCGTCTCTTGTGGACCTAGACTCCATTTTTCGACGCGGGCCCGGCGGACTGGACTATTGTCCATCGCCAATGCAAGGGAACAATTTCACCCTGGTTGATATAGAAAGTTTCCAAGCGGGCCCACGGCTAGCGAAGGTTGTGGGCTACTTCTCAGGTCAGCTGGCATATATTGATGAAGATTGCCCCCTGCAAGAGGGATGTCGGGTGCTCTATCGAAAGGCACAGCCCTTCATGGTCCCGCAGGAAGAGCATGAAAAGCGAATTGGTATATCAACTGTCAAGATCGGCGCACGCCGGTTTATCTCTGGTATCAATATATTGCCGTCGAACGAAGGCAACTGCGTTGGTCGATTGATTGGTTATCGCAATCCAGCTGCCGAAACGTATATAGACGTGCCCACAAACCTCTTCATCAAGGATTTTCGCGTGGCATTTTGCGCGGAAGGCTTAGTGGGAATCCAGTTACAATACGATAACTCTGCTTCATCACGCTGGATTGGTGATAGCAACGGTCCAGGCATTGCTCGAGGAACACTGCAGATCCCGACAAGAGCAGATCAGTACCACTTGCTTGCGGACATAGACCGGTTCAAGATTGTTTCACTTGGCCTTGCTGAAAGGATTGACGACCATCAAAGCTCTTTGCATCGGACTCGTTCGGACGTAAAGGAGCCGTTCCACACGCCTTCCCAACTGTGGGTTCCCCATGCCCCCATGCATGAAGGCTTGCTTGTCAGCCTCCTTCTACCGTCTGAGCCACCCCGTGCCTTTGAACCGCTGTCAAATATTGACTTCGGTGGCCCAGGAGGTAGATCTCTCATGTCGTTAATCCGACTAGACTTTCACATGACATCCTACCCGCACCCTCTTATCGGCATTGGCTATCACTACGCCGACGGAAAGTCGGTGTTCTTTGGTTCTACGGGTGGTTGTGCCATTTCGATTCCCATCAATGGCCCAAGTGGTGAACGTATCAGCGGGATAAGCATCGTGGAAGATAATCGTGATTTCTATCAATCTGAAGCCCTCGGTGGGCTACAGGTCTGTCCTTCTTTATTCCCACCAATCTGTGCACCATGCTAACCTTGTCAAGGTGTCAACTAACTATGAGCGGTCTTTCATACTGGCTCCCCTTTCCTATCGGCTCGAAGCATCTGTTACACCAATACCAAGCTTGCCGCCTGGCCGTTTCGTCACAGGGCTTGTTGCCCACCAGAAGGTAGGTGAAACTTCGTGAACTAGTTCGAGCAATAGCTAAGCAGGTGACAGACTTACGGAACCCATTTTATCCGAGTCGGTATCCAATCACAATTCTGTGACGAACCATCCACAATCCCACACATCTTAGACCGAGAATGTCATCTGTTGCCGGATAATGAAATTCGTTACGACGAGAAATTCTCCCATTTGATTAACGGCAGCAACTCAGGTAACTATCAAAATTATGCATCACTAAAGGGCATCCGTAAGATTCAGGCATCTGCTGGCATATCGGGTTGGTCCCGCCCCCAGAATGGCATCTCAGGCCTGAAGCTTGAGTATTACAACCATCCCAGTCCAGCCATTGTTGGACAGTGGATGAACGAACTTGAAGATTGCTTTGATATATCACCGGACGAGGATATCCAAGCAGTCACCGTGTAGATCGCTCCTCTGGGCTATTCTTCCGAGTCTCCGGGGTTGGCAGTGGGTCAAGTCGCAGCCATACGCTTTGAAACAACATGTGCGCGCAGTGTGACTTTCCGGTCCCCGCACTTTCGTACCTTTCCCACTGGAATTATACGAAATGAATATCAACGTTGCTTCGATGAGGAATTAACAGCTATCTCATGGATCTTCAACGAGTCTTCGGACCGTGTCCGAGCAGTAAATTCTCCCCACAGAAGCTGGAGGCCTCGACTACTTGTCCCAGAAGTCTCTCCCCCTTTTGACCTGGTGCGGAAGCTCTACTTCGAGACGCGGAATGACAATACCTGCCCCGAAAGGGTAGTCACCATCGAAGCCTACTTTCGAGGCCGCGCAATCATTGGACTGCTCTTCGTCTATAGTTCAGGCGTCATGGCAAGCACGGGCGATTTAGACACCGACTCTCGCCAGGCCGTTCATATTGCAAGCGATGATAAGATAGCCGGCATGTCAGCTACAGTCGCAGGATCTGAGCTGGTTGAGATTGACTTCGAGGTCGAGCACAACGCATCGCCCAAATGCCAGAGGCTTAGTCTCGCCTTAGAACCGCCGTACACCCCGGAAACAGCTATGGATTATGGGTGGCGAGATGTATGGTGTAAGGATAAAGCAGCTGTGGAGTGCACTACCCGGCAGGGCGGGAGCGACAGGGTATATGCGGCCCCGAGCAACTCGATACTTATGGGAATCTACATTGGCTGCCAAAGATTCAGCAGCGTGGGAGCAATATACGAGCCCGACATTTCTCATTGATGACGGAGATTCAGTTTCTTTTCGAGTGAATACTAGGTGCCAATTCGGTGTGCCAAAAATCCAGGTTCTTGTAGTGAAGCTTTCGGGTCCAGAGCCATTAAAAGAGCTATTACTTATGTAACTCCCCATCTGAGAATTGATATATCTCAACTAGTATAGTAGTATATATTTCTCTACATATTTATATATGAATACTATATCAAATATCAAAGTATTCATAAGAAATCTTATCTAACTTCATGGATAGAATAGGATACTGTTTCACTACCTGAAATATTTATATATCATTTGTATTCTCTTGGAACGGCTTAAGAAAGCCATAAAGAAGAAGAAAAGAAGAAAATTCATCAAAATTATTTGTTATCTCTATTATCTTTAGACTTGATACTAGGCTTGCAAAAGACCAGTTTTGTATGGCATAACATGGGTGGCCGGCGCGGCCGGGAGTACGTTAACAGGCGGTGGAGTCTAGCAATGTGACTACTCGTCTAGTCCACACACACTAACAAGGATCATGAAGCACTCGTCGGTGTGACGCCCCATCAATCTGCCTTGCTATTACAAAATGTTAATTGAAGGAAAGAAAATGGCTACGCTGCGCCATCCACCCCGCCTTTACTCGCACTGTGCGGATGCAGCCTTACCCAGCTCAGTATTTGCTCTTGTGCGCGCCAATCCTAGCATCAGCTAAGTCCGAGCACTGTTTATCACTCGCCCGAAGCCATGATAGCTTGTCATTGGCCATGCCAGAAGTGGGCGCTTAACAACTTTTCGAACGGCGTAGCAGATATGGCCCCCAGACCAAACACAAGACACGAAACACCAGAGCTAGCAGACCATTAGCCGCCGAGCCACCCAAGAGGGAACACTAAAGAACCATGCTCTAAAAAACAAGCCATCTCCATCTTTTTCAAAAACGATCATTACCCTCCATGAAACTCAATCAAACATCCCAGTCTGTTTCCCCTCCCCAGACTGCCCCTACCCCTACATCCCCTGCCGTGTCTGCCTCCTCTAGCAAAGAGCAACAGCAACATCACAATGTCCAACGACAGCAACAGCAACGACCTCGCCCCTCCATTCGGCTACCCCGTCCGCCGTAACGGCACCTGCTACGACACCGAAAATGACTGCGGTTCAACCTGGGGTCCCTACCGCGAATGCTGTCCCAAGGGCGCCACCTGCGCCCCCGGGAACTGCTGTCACTCCGCCGCAGCATGCGGCAACATTCTCAAACTGGATCCGCATTGCGGGAATACCTCGGCCATTTTGTATTATGAGAATGATTACTTCTGTTGTTCGAGCGGGCTGGATGCGTTTGCAAGGGTGTCGAATGGGTTCGTGGGCTGTACGGATGATGTCTCCACGTTGGGGTCGGAGTTTAGTCTGTTGTCGCCGGTCTCGACGACGAGTTCGTGTACGTTTTTTATCTTTCCTGCTGCTGCTTTGACTTGATGGATTGAGATTAACTGGGAGTAGCTACATCGACTACTACGTCTGCTACGGTGACGTCAGATGCATCTTCGTCTACATCGACAGCAGATACTAGTCTATCGTCGTCGGTAATATCATCGGCGACTGCGCAGTCTACGACGAATGCATCTTCACACACAGAAAGCAAAACGAATACCGGCGCCATCGCAGGCGGGGTAGTCGGTGGTGTTGCTGGCTTAGCGCTCATTATCTTTATCATCTGGTTTATGATCTCGAGAAGGTTACAGGCTGCACGGAGACATGCAGATGATGATGTGCCTTCGACATACATAGGCCATCGAACCAAGAACAATCATCCGAGGGAGCTGCAGGGCGATGCTGCCGCTCCACCTGTTGCTGAGTTGGTGTCTGCTCCGCCGGTTTATGAGTTAGGTTCACGACCTCCTGTTTATGAGTTGGGGTCGAGGCCGCCTGTTTTTGAGTTGGCGGGGGGTGTAGATGGGGGGAGGATATGATCATATTTATGAGTGGGATCATTTATTGTATATATTGCATGCTTACTACTCTTGATTATGACAACTTTCAAAGGAGCATGATGTTTTCTCCTAATCCTACCAGGTGCGTAGAAGACATTTGACTTTCCCAGAATCTCTTTGAATACCGATCCCGAAGCATGGGATTCATCTTCGATTTGCGATAAGTTATTAGTAAGTATTCTTAGCAGACATTAGTGATGGCTAGTACAGCGTACTCCATCACACTTCAGAAAGCAGCCCAGATCATGCTGTACGAGTACGGCAGTTAATAGCGGCCATCGGGCGAATGCTTTTATTGGGATCATGATACAGTGCATAAACGTTCATATCTTGAAAACCTCTAAGATATATGCTCTTACTATGTAATTTAAAGCATTCAATATACGAAGGTGGTGAGGATGTTAACACAGTTAAAAGTAATGGCTGAGATGCTGAGAATAACGCAGAGTCTATGAGATAGCAGGTGAACGGTGTCCTGGCTAGTCTATATCCAGCGCTACTTCTATACACAGTTAGTGGTTGCTAGCATGCAGCTGTTAACTAGTAGTCTCCACTCAATGCTGCGCCAGGACCATAACTTATGGCTCGGGGATTAGAGCGACAACTCGGGGAAATTACGATCGACCTGTAGCCGAGACCCGAACGTTGTTAGTATTCCAGCCTCGACTTTGTGGACGATTACCAGAGTCATAGTATAACTCTTATATTGTCGCTATTTAGGTGACATCTAAGAAAAAACATATCTATATTAGATAGTAAAGTATCAAATAGCATCGGATAACAAATAGACTCACCTCCGAACAAAAACAGCAACACCCGACCAAAACCAGTAACTAACGGATATGCCCTCATCCATCCCCCCTCCTCCCCCCTAATTATAGCCGGTCGAACACTAAGTACCTCGCCCCGCCGGTACCACTACTCATTTCAGTTTAGTTAGTAGTAACTCGTCCACTTGATTATCCTCCTGCTTTTTCAGACTTAGTGTTAGTGAGTCTACAATGCTATTCTATCCTTAATAACTCCAGCCGCCCTTTCTCACTTAACTACCCAGCTTACCAGCTTAGTACAATATCACAAGCGCCCCGAACATCCAATCGAACCGATACTTTGATATTGAGTGGGCCCGTTTGCAGATCCATTCCAAGTCTAGAGTCTACTTACTCGATAGAGATTAGAGAGACAGACGCCTAACTGATAGCCCCCAACGGGAAGGGAACATGAAGGGTGGGCCAACCAGCAGGAAGGATTGAGGTCGGTGCTGAGCGGAGTGGCTGCTGTCGCTCCCGTCGGCTTGGGGTGGGCTTGGTTAAGGCTTAGGCTTACAAAGTAGGATCCGATCCTGAGTTGAGTTGGGTGGTTGACTGTTAACATGTATGCATTAAATGACAGGTGGATTTTGTTCCTCATGTAGCATGCATTCTTGTGAGCTTATTATGAGGGATACGATATCAAAGCATACATAAATGATAGTACAATAAGCAAGGTGTCTACAGAATATCCTCCAACTCCTTCAACACCAGTAACAGAAACCAAGAATAATATCAACATCCAATATCCACGAAATACCCTCTCAAATAATCAAACCAGGTTCCTCTTTCCCCCATCCTCCCTCCCTCCAAACCCACCCTGCACTGCCCTCGGACTCTGTAACCGAATAGGCTGATGTCGTTGTCGGCCTCGAACAAACCGCACCGCACGCAGTATCCCCAATACCACCAGTACCAACAGAGCCAACTTCATCGCAACGCCTCCGTAGTTGCCAGGAAAGCGCCCATCCAAGCGGTGATGTGGTAGTAGTGCATGATGTGGATGATTGTTGGCGTCGATGATGTTGTTGTCTGCTGACGCTCCCGGCCGTTCATGATGATACCCATGATGGAGAAATGTGCCATGAGGGGTGTATTTATGCTTATTATCATCATATGCTTTTGCATGTGCATCTTGACCACCATGTTCTGGAACAGGTAGAGGCCCTGGAGGATGGTATTTCTTTTCATCGCTGCCAGATGCGTGGTCGTCGGAGCCGGAGTTGCCTTGGAGTTCCAGCCATCGCTCGTAGTCGGTTTTGGGTCGGTCGCGGGCGGTGATGGCTACCATTTTGTATTATGCTTTATTGGATTGGAGGATATTTGCAGTTGGGGTAATGATAATCGTGATGATAATGATAGCCAAGGTGTGTGTGTGTATGTGTGTGGTGTAAGACCAAGCAAAAAATGATAAACAGGTGAGAAGCTTGTCTTGATCAAAGCCAGACAGAAGTGGATGTGAGAGTGAATGTGGATGAGATTATCATTCGGAAATGAACAACCAAGAAAAGACAAGACAAGAAAAAGACACCCGCCCCGATAAATAAGTTGTCAATGCTTTTTCCTGGACCGGGGTCAGCCAGTCAGTCAGTCAGAAAAGGGCACGAAAATGACTAGACTAGGATGCGACACAGCCTACTAACTACTTCACTACTAATATGTACTGTTATGTAGGACAGGACCAAGAGGGGCGATCGCCGCCCATCAAACAGCGCCTAATAATTAATGGAGTAATGGACCGGGTTCTAGCGCTACGACGTTACTAGATTAAATCCGGAAGTTCCAGGGCTACCTAGTAAGTAGTCTAGCGCCGGGCGTTTCCCCTGAGCTGAGGCGGTTACCTTTGAATTCTCGTTATATTATTGGTGTATTTTCCGTGGGTGAGACCGGATCAGACCAGACCCTGGACGTTAAGCTATTTTCGTGGGTTTAAAGTGGAACATTTGGAAACACTGGTGGTTCATGTGCGGTGGGTGGTTTGTAATGAACCATCGGGTGGATGCCTTGAAAAGAAAAGAAAAGAAAAAGCAAAGGAAACCTTCACAGAGAAAAAGCATTAACTGATACGAAACTTTATCCCAATAGGCAACAGAATGAACTCTAGGAAAGACATTGTTTAGGTAGACACATTAATTGGGTAAATACTTCTTTCCTCGTAAGGCTGATTCCATCCACCTTCCCAGTAAATTACGCAATAACTGGAAAGTCACAAGAGGGCATTTCTTTGTGCTTGGCTTCTATTCGCTATTTACCCACACAGGGTCCTTGATCCTGGTTCTGTCCTAGTCCTCGTCCATGTAACCCCTCCAGTCTCACTAATTCTTTTTTTGGCTTTCACCGGACGGCACGAGCCGCTATGTCCAAACCCTCCAATCAGGTGAGATGTAGAAAGGGAATAAGGTGCAGGGTTCAGAGGGTCGTGTGCCCGAACCCATGTCCTTTTAATGAGCGGGTGAAAACTTCGGCTACTCTTGGGCCTGGCGCTTAGTGCATTGAAGCGATTGGCCGTGATTGTTGCTTGGTTTTGTTTCTTTATAGTTGTTTATATTACACCCGAAGGGATGTCAAAGGCCATTGGGGAGAAGGTAGGAATTGTTGTGCACTGGCGCTAGATTTAATAGCGTTTAGCAGTTATGGAATTACCTTTCTAGATAATTCGCAACACATCTGTGATGCACAGAGAAGCTCTTGCTGGTGTATTTAAAGCACTAGCATACATTGCGAAAGAATACAGCATTCTGATCAAACAAACAAGGATATCTCAAACATGACTTATAAAAACACATTTAACAACTTGACTCAACAAGTTTTAGATCTTCAATCATCTCAAGCAGTTGTGACCTGTCGCTTGGGCGCCGGCACATCGCCGTTATAGTGGACTTTATAGGCTGTAGTAATCCAGATTAGCAAGGTATCAAGAACAAAAAGCAAGGCAAACTCACTAGTCGGGAACGGGGAGTAGCTGCCATAGTCCTCCCGCATGTAGACAGAGAACCCAGCTTCCTGGGGAATCTTCTTCAACTGTCCTTGAGCTCCAGGAGCAGGACGGAGAGTGTCCAGACAGACAACAACCCGCACCATGGCAGTCACCGCAGCCAGGGTGGCATCCTTACCCAGGCCACTCTGAGGGCCAAGTCCATAGTGTAGGTAGGACTCAAGAGGGCGGTCAAGGCGAACCTCGTCAGGCGACGGGAAGGCCTGAGGGTCACGGTTTGCCTTCGACTATATGGCATTAGCGATGATCAGTGCTTCAAGTCTGGGTGATACGTACCGAGCCGACAAACACCTTGTCACCAGCCTTGACGCTGTATTGACCGGTTTCATCAGACACGTCGATGTTGTTCTGAGCCTCGCGGTAAATGCCCAGGTTGCCGTTCAGGCGGACAGCCTCCAGGCAAAAGCGGGTGAGCCTGTCATTAGCTTCCGCAGTGTTCTCGTTGGCCAGGCGGTTGATCTCCGGGAGATACTTCTGGCCCTCAGTGAGGTAGAAGTGGATGATTTGGGTGAACTGTTCGATTGTCAGTATTGCATGCAATCATATGCAGCATAGGGAACCTACCATTTGAGACTGAGTGTGGACCATCTCAACAGCTGCCGGCAAGATCTGGCCCCAAGTCACATCGGAGACTCCCAGGCCACTCTCTAAAAGGCGCTTGATCAGCTGATCTCCATAGTCCTTCAGGGCATTGTGATCGTCGCGGAAGCTATCGATGATACCGTGAAGGAAGCCGGGGTGGTTGATGGACTTGACATGGGCTTCCACAACCTTACCCAGCTCCTGGGAAACCGCGCGGGCTGCATGCTGGAGCGGGAAGGACTTGGTAGGGTCAACATCAAAGAAGGTGGAAGTGAAGACCACCGCCATGATCATGAACATCTCATGTTCGGTAAAGATGCCGCGAGGATTGCTCTTCGTCTTCAGTGGCAGCGAGAAGACCTTGGAGACGAAATGCACAGGCACGAGGTTTCCGACGCTGATCTCGTTAGCATAGTCACCATTTTACTTCGGTTTAGACGACTTACTCTCTTGCAATGTCAACCTGCTTGTTACCAGCAAGCTTGCAAGACTTCTCATTGAGAAGCTTCAGGGTGGCGTCCTCGTAGAATTCTTTGACGCTATTTCTCCACTGCTCATTGTCGAATGACTTGCTCCAGAAGTCGGCGCCCCCCTTTCCGGCATGGATCGAGCTGAGTCCACCCCAGGGCACAGTGAAGTCTTTCTGGCTGTTCAAGACAAATTGCGCGTTGGAGTAGGACAACAGGTTCGGAATAGGCTCCGTGTAGCGGGGTCTGTCATACGAATAGTGGGACTCGCGACCGAGGTTCTTCATGATGTTCCTGTTCTCGGAAGGGATGGTCATTGGGTAGTGCGCGTAGATGGAGTCAGGCTTGAAGTAGTTAGGGAAGGCCCGCATCGCGAGCTTGTAGAACACACATCCCTGGTTGATGTTAAGGTCATAGCGGACCTCATTGTATCCCCAGTTCGTGAGGTTACGTGGGTTGTAGTCGATCTAGACATATCAATAGCGATTCTTATAGGCATGCTGGGTTGACTTACAGTATAGTACCTGTCACCACGGACGAGAGCCACGGCATCGGAGAGAACCGCGCGGGAGATAGTATAGGTAGGTGCAATACCAACACCGGGGATCATGGGCTCCTTCGCTTCCTCGGCGACAATACCAGGGTAGAGCTCCACATAGTCTGGGTGCTCATACAGGTGTCGCAAAGCGTCAGCGACCTCCGGGTCAGAGTTGATGTCCTCGAACTTTTCGTATGGCTTAAGGTCGAAGAACTTGCGGAATTCGTTCAGAGAGCCGACGTTCCACTTGCGACCTTGCTCAATACCAAGGATTTCCACAGATTTCAGGACCTTGGGCACATTCCGTGCACCGAAAGAGCCTGCAATGGTAAGTAAATTGGCTATTCTGTTTGTAAGAGTTATACTCACTGGCAACATCCTCAATCGCATTGGACAAGATTCTAACGAGGTCTTCGTCCTTGAATGTTCCATCTTCCTGTCGCTTTAGACCGGCAAATGTGCGCTTGGACGGGTCCTTCGGAATCTCTTGCTCGTATTTCTTAAGCCCGAAGAGAAGCTCACGCATGGAGACCTCCGAGGCAGGCTTGCCCATCAGCTCTTCGTAGATCTCTTCAGTCCACTTCTCATCGTTGGCACTAATAGCAGAATGCCAGCGGTATGCGAGGTTGAATTCGACAGAGCACTGGTTACCGAGACCCGACGGGGTACTCTTAGTGCCTTCCATCTGAACTCTAGGGTCCTGTTGCTAGTTAGCTTGCTCCTTGCTTCTTAACCATCTGTGTTCACTTACCAGGCACCATGTGCTGTTGCTGCGATTCAGGTTGACGATGGTGCGCAAATAATCGTACAGCGTGATGTTGATGAACAGGCCGCATGTAACCCTATAGAGCGTCAGGAATGCATGCTTGCAGTAATGCGATTTGGGAAATGACATACAGGCGTCCGGTCTGGAAAAGATCATTGTCATACTTTTCCCAGGCCTTCTTAGCCTTCTCTTCGTCGAGACGAGGGTCGGGCTTGTTGAAGCGACCGTTTTCATTGATCGCTGCTAGCTCCTCCACGACCCAGTTGTGGAATCTATTTGGTGACCAGTTAGAAATTTTTTAGTATGTCAGGAAGCGAGTGTATTGCGAACCTGCTCAGCATAACCATCAACACGGAGCAGGCCGGCGGGAAAGCCTGGAGCCGCTGTTCCGAAAAGGTATCGGGCTTCAATTTGCCATCCTTGAAAGTCCGAACCAAGTTCTGGTCTTCCTGATTATCACCGTACAGAATCGAGAGATCGAGATAGGCTGAAGTCTTGTTGACATGAGGGGTCGTGTAATCGGTCTGGAAAATGTCTATATTTCTGGTTAGCGCTCTGCTGTGACGACGGTGAAAGGAGCTAGCGAACCATGAATGACGAGGGACGCCCAATCGAAGAAAAGACTCGACACCTTGTTAGGGTGAGGGGTAAACTTCTCGCGCGCAAAAAGACAGTCAAAGACAAGACCGGCATCAGGTAAACCGCCGGGCTGGATAGTCAAGGGCGCAATTGAGCGAGCGTAAGGCGTCCCCGCAGCGCCTAGCCAGGGAAGTGTAGGGTTGTTGTTGGAGCCGTCTGCTGAGCGGTAGGCATATTCCTCTCCCATGTAGCTGCCGAGTATTAGCGTGAGTGCAGTTCATGGGGAAATATCGAGCCTCAACTTACGACAGAGGAGGGTGAGGCAAGGAACCCCAAAGTTCGTCCAAAAAGGCGTTGGTGAGGTCAACGCGGGTTTTTGAATTTCCTGGGAGGCTGCTGACAAGCTGTCGGAAGAGTTAATTAGCATGCATGCCAGTCGAGGTAGAACTCCAAGTTGTTTGCCTCACCTGGATAATACGCTCCATGAGCATAGTCTTGTCATCAATGTATTCTCCCTTGGCCTTCGTTTTAATTAGGTCTTTCAGGGTACCAATGTCTTTGAATCCCAAGGCACGAAGGTCCTTGAACAAGCTCCCCGAGTGCTCCTGCTCGAGATAGGTGCCATCGCCGGTCTGGTTTGGTAGAGGGCGCCGGGACGCATGCAAGACCTGAGCATATTTCTCAAAGACAGACACGCCGTCATCGCTTTCGACACCGTGATCGCTGCGACTCTCATCTGAAGAGGATTTGCGCGGCGCCGGCACTTTCGACTGGCGCTTCTGGCCGTTCACCTGCGTTCCATTCGGTTTAGAATCGCGATCGCCTTTCGACGATTTTTTGAACGTCGAAGAGAATCTGCGCAACATTATGATTATACCACTTAGATAACTTATAAACAAACGAAGACAAAATAGAGTGTATTGGAATGAAACGCGGATAAAAAGAGGGCGCAGAAGGAGGAGGAGTAGGAGAAGAAAAGATCAATCACAAGCTATTGGGACTGCGATCCGTCGGAAGAATAGGGTTTTAAACAGACAATGCATGGGGTCATCATGCTTTGGAACCAATGTCAAATCACAAATTATCAACTGTGCCCGCCATGTTGTGGACCCAGCCCTCGAATCCCAAAGGCGACAATAGTAATTGTCCGACACCACTAGCATGTGCACCGTATCGAAGTTGCTGCTGATCTTTAATCAAGCCCCGCGAAAATTCGCTACAATCTCCTTGGGTATGGCTGAACCTTTGTCCCGGAAAGAGTGGAGTAAGTCGGGTTGGCCGAAGAAAGGGGGCGTGTGCAAAGTGGGAACAAACGTGGTTCAGCTGTGCGAGGTCGGTCTTGGATATCGTCCAAGTTACGGGAGACAAATGATGTGCGGGGATGCGTAAATGATCTACATATTCCTTCACTTACAAGGAGACCTGAAGTTGATTGACTGGTCAAGACCTCGTTGGCAAGGTTCAGGACGCCACGCGAGCGGCAAAGGCAATCCCCTCGCCAGTCGAGACAGATTGGGTAAGAGAATCAAAGAAGATCATTGTAGTCGTACTTAGATACTTACAAAGAGGGGAGAAAGAAATCCCACTGGCTCAGTGCCGTAGTCACAGAGAAGCTACAACTTGTTTTGGCGAGTTATCGATGCCAAGCAACCATGTCGATTCGAACGGGACCATGGCACTGGAACCGGGAAGGGTCACCTCCACTTGGGCCCCAAGGTGCCAATTGCAGGTTGGCATTTAGTGGTCCGCAGTCGGAGCAAAACACCGGACGGTGCCGAATTATTGGCGAAATTCCCATGTTCATCCGAGCGCAGCGCCACAAGTTGGCAGAGTGGGCCTCGAGAACTCTAAGCCCCCATCTCAGCTTAACTAGCCCTCGAATATCTGGCCAATGGCGTCAAGAGTGAACGAGGTTGACATTTGAGCCGAGGGGATCACCTCCAGCCCACACTGCTCACTGATCATTGGAGGCTGCAGGATGGCCTCGTCCATGTGCAGCCCCTCGGATGCAAGGGTAACACCAAAAGGATGGGATAGGAGGTGATGAGCAGACCAGTACGGATTAGGCACGGCACAGGCGCATATTTGTAGGAGCCGCAGTCATTGGCGGGGATCGCAGTGAAGTGAGGAGTCCATCGAAGAAGGACAAGATTTCGACACGAATTGCAGCGGAGTCCAATCAAGAGCAGACTTTAGGGTACCCACACGTTCGCAACACGGGATCATCCTCATTTAACTTTCCCAGGTGTTCGTGGCTTCTCGCCGTCGACTTCCCATGTCAGTAGCATCATTCTTCACACACAGCATACTTGAGATCGTGGCCTGTCCCCATCCATGAACTTCGAACACGCCTGTGTACTCGATCGAAGAGTAAGCCCAGGTATGACAGATGAGAAAAAGCACTCAGAAACGTGCAGAGACTGACACGCAACCCTCCATCTACGCGGGACGAGCTAGATAGTGGATCAGTCCAGCTAACTGAAATGAGACGATCTGCATGGGTAGAGGATCCACATCGTACTGATTTGGTGAAGTTCATCACGAGGCCGCCCGATCGATCTGATCCATGAAAGTCTGATGTGGTAGTTCCTGGCAGAAGCCAGTGAACAGCTAAGAATTAGCTAGCAACTAGTGATAAGAGGAAAGGGAGGGAAAAAGGGAACATCCAGAAACGTGAGTCTCGACCGGGAAAAGCATGCCAGTGCTGAGACTTGTGGCTGGCAGGCTGACAGCTAACTCAGTCCGGGTAACTTGGAGCGAGGCAGAGAGAGAGACACACGCAGAGAGAGAGAGAGGGAAAAGATTTTGTCGTCTGAGCGTCAGCAACAGATTTTCTGGGTCGCACTTGGCAAACAAGTTTGTTATCTATCGAGTCCGACAACTGTTTTTGGAAAACAATTGAGGGATAGGCGAAGGTGGTCAAGTCAAGAGGCTGTAGTCCCATGGGAGCCGATCGGGAGCATCCGAATGGTTCGTGGAGGCTCCAGCCATCAGGCCGTCCAGGCGTCAAGGCCCACCCGGACGGGAGATACCTCAGGCGGTCAGGCCTCCCGCAGCTGGACGATCTTGCCCCAAGGGGGTTAAGCTGATCACGATAGGCTATCCACTATTCCACTGTATCTCCCCCGACGAACTCGACAAACTTTGGTCCCAGTGCTTTTGTGGTGCACTGTGAGGACTCAGGACTGAGGACGGCTGGCAGTCGCCTTTGCAGCTGTCCCAGGTGGGTCGCCCATCCCAGCCCATGACTCTCTGCCGACCCCAGAAATGTCTAGCATTCGCTTTGGTGGATTTTTACTCCTTCCTGTTTGGCCGGGAATTCTTCCCCCTGCAGCTACTCACGATAGTGCTTCCTTTGAACTGCACAATGAAGGGACCCTACATCTGGCTTGTTTGTCGCAGCGCTGAACTTTGTCTATCACAGACACAGGAACTATTGTTTTCTGTCTCTGGCCGGGTCCCCCTTTCCCTCCCTTCATCGCAATCCTCTCCCCCACCAAATGCTCTCCTTTCTGCCCATGGTGGAGAAGATCAACCTTCTGCGCCAGCCACTCTTTCCCCTTCAACCCACTCCTTGCTTTTCGGACTTGGAGGTCCGATTGCTTTATCTGTGATTGTGCAGGCTGGACTTGACAATTGCAGTAGTGCATGCACACAGAATATGCAAAATTTCCCGAAGCCCTTCAGACCTTCAAGCTTCAAGTCAGTGATCGTTACACTCGGGCAGACCCTGGATAGAAATATCCGAACAGACTGCTTATCAATTAGCCAGTGGAAAACTCTGATCTCGTCAATTTTATTATGTTATATACAAATTTGGTTGCCTTTGATGATCAGAGTATCTCCACCGGCGGAAAACTCGGGAAAGATCATCTTTCCTCGTGTCTTGGGTCTCTGACTCAGGCGGTGGATGATCTCTAAATGGGTAAAGGCGTGCTAACACCACGTTCTTGGCGGCCTGCCATCTAAGAATCTATTCCTGACACCCGAACCCACCTATGGGTCGTGCTCAACAATCACCCACCAGAGTAGGAATGTCAAGACAAACTAGTGTTGCAAATAATGCCGAATATGGTCCGTGAAGAAGGTGATCGCCGGATGGGGTCTATGCGTGTGAGCCTGGCATTTGTCATACGCAGAATCCCTGTAGGCCCAGTCTTAGCCTCTGGCCACCATTTCTGACGGGCTGAGCTGAATGGATCAATTTCCGCAAGTCCGCAGCTGACGTTTGCCAGGATAATGAAGGCCGGTGGGGTACATCTTCGCCGAATCAAAACGACTGGTCAATAATGAAAGGCAAGGGAAAAAAGATGTGATGACAGCCTTCCCACACTAGCTGCCAGGAATGTCGGCTGGTACAACCTCATCCGCCAACCACTTTTCTTGTGTGTTCCACTTAGCGAAACTAACCCGGGCAAGAATCCGAGCCTGCAGGAACTCTATCAGGGGAGGGGGGAAGCGTCCGCGTGCACCCTCTGACGGGCGCGGCGTAGGGCCCCGAGTCTTAGTCGTTCATGCATAAGCGGCAGAACTGCCCCATCTCCCTCGAATGTATATACACCAAGCCCACCTCCACGCTGGTCGGCACATAGCCTACCATCCGGAAAGGAGAACAAGCCCCCTCCACGCTGCGGCCGTATGAAGACTGGCTGAGCTATATCGTCCTTAATACTGTCTGTCGTGAACAATGGAAGCCACACAGACGCCGTATGGCCCTGCACGGGTCCCAAAGCACTTTGTCCTGTGCTTTGATGGCACTGGAAACAAGTTTAGCGGGGATTCGTCGGATAGCAACGTTCTCAAAATCTTTCGGGTGAGTGAGCTGCGAGGCAGGTCCCGCCAGACTAGTTGTTTTTTGTGATCGGTTTGCTCACGGATTGTCTTTGGCACTTGAAGATGCTCGATCGGAGTAAGAGCCACCAATTCCACTACTACCAACCTGGTATCGGAACCTACGTTACAAGCAAGTCGCTTTCTAGCCATGGACGAATTCAAAAGATCAAATCGGCATACTTCAAAGCCAAAGACTCCGCCGTTGGTTCCTCTTTTGACGAACATGTGATGGGCGGTTACAAGTTCCTCATGAGGTACTACCAAACTGGCGACGACATCTATTTCATAGGATTCAGTAGAGGCTCTTATATTGCCCGCTTTCTGGCCGAGATGCTCGACTATATTGGCTTACTCGAGGCCGGCAATGAGGAGCTAGTTCGATTCGCCTGGAAGACGTTCGCTAAATGGCAGCAGCGACGAGACGACAATGAAGAGGAGAAGGAAGAGAAGAAGAAGCTGTTTCGCTACATGAAAGCGTTCCGCGAAACATTCAGTCGTCCTATCAGTAGGATCAAGTTTATGGGCCTATTCGATACGGTCAATAGCGTTCCCAGATTCGAGTCGGCGTGGATGGAAAGAAGTAAATTTCCTTATACCGCCCGAAGCTCGGCTCGAGTCATTCGACATGCGGTCAGCATTGACGAGCGACGAGCCAAATTTCGCCAAGACTTAATCTCTGAGATCAGGCCATGGCATGATAAGAAGCACCCCATCCAAGAGCGAGGACGACAGTATATGCAGCATCTCCGTCATCCTCTGGCGGGCCGCAGGAATGGAAATGTACCTGTGCTCAGGGTCAACAGCGGTAATATCGGTACGGACGATGGCGCACCACCCGCTGAGCACGATGAGGAAGAGACAGCATCGGTCTACCGTAGTGCCCACGCCTCTCACGAGAATCTTCATGATTGCCATCCATACCGCGCAAGCAATCTTGCAGTGCCCGGAAGGAGTCTCAACCTCGCCGTACCTATACCCACGGAGTCAACCGAGGATCTTAACTCCATCAGGAGTGGACAGTCAGGGCAGTTGTCGCTCAACATACAGTTCGCAACAAGCCAAGCCGAGGAGGAGGATGAGAGAAAACAAGACATACAAGAAGTCTGGTTTCCCGGCTGCCACGCCGACATTGGAGGAGGATGGAAACGGGCCAAAGGCGAGGAATGGCCATTGAGCCATGCGCCATTGGTGTGGATGGTCCAGGAAGCCAAAAAGGCCGGGTTGCAATTTGACCCGAAGAAGTTGAAGCAATTCGAATGCGACGAAGAATACGACGGAGAATATACCCCAATCAACGAACACAGCCGATGGCACCCTCGACACGAATTCTGTCGCGATCCTATTCACAAGGAAGCTGGTAACGGCCAACACATGCTCAAGCTAGCCGGTGACGAGCGAAAGAAGAATGCTTCCGAGTCAAGCAATAGTTTCCACGATGCCCTTGTTGCCTCCAGCACGGACGGCTTCTTGCACGACTGTCTGGAATTCAATGCCGGCTTATCGCCACTCTCTGTCATAACCTGGCGCATTATGGAGTACCTCCCATTCCGACGAATGGACCTACAAAAAGACGGTTCTTGGAAGCCAATTCGGTGGCCCCTCCCTTGCGGAGAGGTTCGCGATATTCCCGATGATGCTCAGATCCATGTCTCTGCACTGCGTCGCATGCAGACGAATCCCAACTACCGCCCAGGTAACCTGATCATGGGCGGAGGCGGGCGCGGTAGAAAGATAGCACCGCCAGAATATGGAATCGGGCAATGGGAGCTGAAGGCCCACGAGGGCGACCTAGTGCGGGAGATATATGTGCGGAAGAAGGACGCGACAATGTGTGAGGATGAACATCACCACTGATCGCATGGACTCTTCCACTGCTATCCTTTCATTTGTGGCATGTAAAAAGATCAGCTGAGCCTCCAGTTTTCTTTCTCTTTCGTTTATTATCTCCTTATTCTTACTCAATAATCTGTTCGGGTTGTCGAAGATTCTTCAAGCTTAATATAATTTGGCGGGGGTCTTGAAAAACCAAGTTATAGTCTGATAGTTAGACTGAGAGAATACCATGTAGCCATCTTGGCAGTGCTAATCAATTTGCTGAGAGAAATGTTGTATATTCAATTCAAACGTATTAATAGATGTTGATGCGAAAGCGTCATAGATAGTGAACCACTACCTTGGCGGCAGAAACCCGATCTGTTCCATCGGCCACTGAAGCCAAGCTCGATAAACAGGTTCGCGGAGCTGATTATAAATCTGCGACAAGATATGAGTACCACAGCCCTTCATACACCATATCCACTCCAACTGATGTATAAGTACACAAAAGTATCCCAAAATCACCATAGAAAGGGGCCGGTATTCTTTCAAAAAGACCAGGAAGTCATGAGGAACACGCAGAAGCCACCTGAACACGTCTGATGTTTCAAGCCGCCATCCTTTCTCAAAACATATCGTAAAGCAAGTGCCCAGATGGAAGATCGCATCACAATAGACCTGCTTCTCGTGATTATCTGCGGCCTCATGTAAGACGAAACGGCGAAAGTCCTCGAGGAATTGGTGCTGCGTTGGCGGCTCGGAAATCTCGGAATGATCATGACGTTGTCGATGCACGCTGAATAATGTTCGCAATGGCCCTGTCTTAAGGGATTCCTCGGCAAAGTCAATAATAGTTCCAGTGCCTCGAATAATCATTAGCCAGTTGGCGATTTCGTGGTCTTCCCAAAGGAGGAAGTTGCCCATTTTGAGCGGCTTGGCGCAGCAGATGAATGATGAAAGCGCCGAGAAAAGGAATAACGGAGTACAATTGTCGTATGTGATGTTGGCTATCTCTGGGGTTGCGAGTTTCAAGGATGCTTCGTGATGGTAGCTCGCCTGGGAAATATACTGTTCCTGTTTTTCTGGGCGTAGAACGGCCAGATGCAATGCGGACACGGCTAGGATTGCGCGGAGCGTATAAGGCGCCTTGAACGCTATTTGGGGCACTTCGATGCGCCATAGTGTCTGGATGACCGGATGAAGCGAAAATGTATAGGCGGTGGAAGTACTGTAGTGATGCAGAAGCTCCAGGTCGGCAATGGCCAGCTCTGGCCCTGGTGCCGCCGCCATCTGCGGCTGACTTGCACCACCGCTCGGAGAGCTGGGGTTGCTTGGTCTGTAGTCGGATTGCGGAGTGGATGTTTGGCTAGAAAAGGAGTTCTGATCACTCAACAGGGATGACTCTGCCATTCGAGTCGAGAGAGCAAACGAGCAATGAACTCCATGTCTCTTGCAATTGCCGCATGTCGGCTTCTCCTCTCCACACTGGAATCAGATCAGCATTTGATACTCGAATGCATTGTGTGTTCGACCACTAGCATGCGTGGACGTACCTTGACTTTTCTCAATTTACATTGTTGACAACCGCTGCGTGACTTTCGATGAGACCGGCGCCCTTTGATAGTAGAGTTGTTGTGCATTTTCGCCAGGGTCCGTGTATGTTCGGCAACACTATGTGTAGGATGTACCAAGGCCAATCGTGTATATATGAATAATTAAGAAGCAACTCGAGTATCTGGAGATGGGAGATATGATCCAAGTAGAATTTGAAGGCTAATTGGAATTCGACTTGGCTATCCAGGGTCCAGGATTTCAAGTGAGCTCTGGGCAGTAGCAGAGTGCATCTCTTCCATTATCTGCTCTTCAGATGCCGTGGATGCCTGCAATAACCATTGCACTGTTATAGCACTTAAGAGTGCAATTATTTTTGGGCAATCAGGCTGCCACGTTCCAGCTGTATTGCATCGGGGCCTTCGTCACAGCAGTGATACTTAAATCATGGAAGCCTGAGCCGGCAAACTTAGCTCTTCTTGGCTTGCACTAGCACAATCTGCCGGGTGCAAACATGGCAAATGTGACCCTTACGGCTCCACCCTTTTTATGCTTGCGATGTTTTGGATGACTAAATTATGCGCATAACTATCAATGACTTCAGTTAACCGGTTATCCGCTACAATATCTACGGCACTCTTTGCGGTTACTATCTCAGTAAGGCTTGGGTGGTATAAATGTCCATTATGAATAAAACATAGTTCATTTACATGACTCCGTTTTCGAAGGCAGAAAGAATCCTCTCTCTAAATGCTGTATCAGCTACCTTAGGACTCTTGAAACCACGGTCCAGATGTCGCCGGCAAATAGCTTCAACGTGCTCCTCATTCTTGAGCTGTATTTGGTTCGCTGTCGGGGTCGCGCTTGAACCTGTCCTAGCCTCAGCATCTAGTTGGAATCAGCACAGAGTTTATATATTGATCATCAATATGAGCTGCTTACCTGCCGTGATGCCAATGCGCGAGGATCCTCTCTGCCATGCCTGTTTCGTTGGATCCACCCCTTCTCGCGAAGGGCTAAGGCCAGGATGTTTGGAAGCAGCTGCATCACATTCTTCATCGCCAGCGATCTATTAGTTGGTCAGCCCTATTCAGTCAACAAGTAATGAAACCCTTCTCACATCATAAGTCGCCGCGATATCCGTTTCTTCACGTTTCTCGCCTTGCGCCTGGTGCTTCTTGACGCTTTTGACTCCGTATGTGACGGTGTTCACTACTAGTGCAGTACCTGATACTTGCTAGGTGAGTGACAGACTATATCAAATTGGGGTTGAAAGGGGTTACAGACTCGTGAATGGCAACAAGGCAATGTGTCCAAAGAATTTTGCGGTCCCAACACCAACATCACGAGCGACACTCCGTTTAACTTTCCTCTCCTCGTCTGTCGAGCTCTCCTATAGCAGTTTTAGCCTAATATAATGTTCAGAGATGTCACGAAAGACAAATACCTTTTGACGACCTGAAATCATGCTAACAAGGTCCGAAGCGGTTACTATATCCTTTGCCGCATTGGTGAATCCATTCCAGTATTCCTTAGCTGTACCATCATAAGAGGCAGAGCTCTCGGCTTGTACTTTGTAGATGCAACGGTTGATCCTGAGTTCACAGGAGTTGACAATTAGTGTCCAGGCAGACATGCAACATTCAGCAAACAGGTCCCACTTACAGCACGATATCAGTGATTTTGATCCGGCTCTCCTGTACTAGAACTGCAGCTGCCTCGGATGATATCACGAGCGATGGTCTGTTCCAAATCTGGTACATGGCTAGATCGTGTTTGGTGATACCGCACGTCTGTACTTGAGAAGGCAAAGAGCGATAAAAGGATTGAATAGCATTCTCAAGCCCTGCCTCTTCCTCTACCTGTCGCTTAATGGCTTGAGTCGACTGTTGAACATCTGTACGGAGACCAAATGTTATTGCCTGTGCCAGGCTCTCAGAGGTAAGCGTTCTGCTCGTCAGTGGCGAAGCCCCGGCTCCGATTTTGGCAATTGTATGTGCAGTTGACAGATGACTAGTTAGGTCAGTAACAGCACACCTGATTGATCAAATAATGTTGAGTAGGCTTACTTTTCTGTTGTGGCGATGATCACACTTGGCTTTCCGTACTGTAGAGCCAATTGTGTGCTGGATGGGCTTCCATTGTGTATTACAACAGCCACTCTCGGAAGTAACCACTCTATACATAAGATTTATCAGCATCAAGGTAACAACAATAATATAAGTGACGTTTTCAGCATACCAAGCGGAACAGACTCAATGACGAGCACATTGGTACTGTTCAATAGCTCACCAAGGCGTCTAGAGTCCCTGGAAAGTAGGACACGATATCCCTTCTTCAAAATAGCATCTTGGATTATCAGCGCCAGACGGTATATATCCTTCATGCTATTCTCTGGTAGCATCAGAAAAATAGGCGCGGGGCCCGAGACCAGAAAATATTCCAGGCCTCTTCTGGGTGTGAAAGAAAGATCACGTTGCTCGAATAAGTAACCCGAAATATCTGTAGCTCTCATCAGCTTCAAGCACTCCACTCAAGGGTCTATAGCAGCAATAAGGCCTACCATGATTACTGCTCCAGTCATTTGGCCGCGGAACTAAAACCTTCGAACAGAAATACGTGTGAGGAAGTTCGTGATCAGTCACGAGCCTTCCCGCTGTAACCGGGGATATGCTCATCAAGCCCAGAATCTGTTGTCGAAATTTGTTGATGGGCTTGAGTATACTGTCCGAAAGTAACGAACTACATGTTAGCCTAGTCCCAAAAATCTAAGCTTCTCCTGCTTACTCACACATTCCACGTCGATTCTTCAACTATCGCATAAGAAAGCACGTTTGAAGTAGATTGGTCGACGCCATCGTATGGGCTTATCCGGGCATGTGGATGTGCAAATGCTTTTGTCGGGGTTTGAGGAAAAGCGGACATGATATGAAGAGGGATTGAAAGTCGTTCAGCACAATGAATGTGGGCACGAGCCATGGGATTCGCAATGATTGCGTCGGCCAGAAATGGTCGACGGTCCCCCTTGAAAGGAGCAATACAAGCCCTCCAGCACCGGTGGTAGACCTCATAATATGATTGCTGAACTCTCCTCAAATATTGAAGCCGAGCCTGAGCCTCGTCTGAAGGATGGGCATCACCCATGTTATGCTGGCAAAGTTAACCGGGACTCTTGCTTATAACTAGGGAATATGTATAGCAATTACCATGGATAGGGGTAGCTCATGGTCATAAGTTATGGCGAAGAAATCAAGACCTTGACTTCTGACCAAGTATTCGCAAGATGCAGCCGCAGCAATTCGAACTCGATGCGAGTCTCTTGAAAGTTGCTTTGCCACAGCTAGAAAAGGTCTTATGCTCTCTATTTTCGCATTTTGTTAGCAAGGGGTCACGGCATAAGACGATCTGGTGCCAAATACCTTCAACAACCATCAGCACGATGTCCAAAGGTGGAGGCGTGACATTCTCCCGTGTCTGGGTAAACTGGCCAGTATGTTGAGGCTCCTTTTCGTCTAAGCCCACGCTCACTAATCGTGCCTGCGCTTTTGGTCGCATGAAGGCCTGAATGAAAGCAGAAGTCCGTGCTGCAAGGTCTGGGTTTAGACTAAATTTCTCATCTTCTGTGCGGCTCGATTGTGAGCAATCCGACCTTCAAATTGAAAGCCCCAAAGGGCGATAAGGGCCTTACCAGCAGCAGCACAGTAGTTTTCTAAGTCGCGAGAATCGTTCGTGAATTCGGGAGCAAAGTCCGGCTCAATCGTGAACAGCGAGATTTCGGAGGAAACACACGAATTGCGCGCTGATGAGTATGCAGGAGGAGGATCTTCGAAACACTCGTCATGTTTACTATCCTCCACAAGCTTGGTTTCTTTATTATCGGACATGATTGTGGTGCTTTAGACAGGCTGACGCAAGTTCGCAAAGTGATGGGATAATTGTCGAAGTGAAAAGGAAAGAGAGACTTATTTGCCAGCAGAAATCCCTGTCCCTATTTCTGGCGCCACTGGGTCCATACTTGATGGGGGATAGCCACTAGCATTTCGACTACATAGATTGGAGCCTTGGAGCGAAGTGATAAATATAGTAAGTAGTATTTAGACCCCCAGGCAACATGTACGGGGCTGCGTAAAACCGACCGCATTGAGGTTAGGGTAGCGTTCGTGGAAACTACTAGTCTTCACATAGCAAGAGGATACATGCCATGACCAATGACTATCTTTTGGAACATGGATCCACGGAGAATCAGACACGTTAAAACGGTCGATCGACAACAATCCACTTGGACTGCCTGAAGAAGCTTTCGGGTTCGTATTCGGGTTCGGGACCAAGGCCCAGGCTTTGATCTATTGCAAGGACCCACCCAGCTCGATATCAACCATGAAAACATCGTGGCCATCTTGGGATCATATACATTGTGACAAGCTTAAGTGGTAGAGTTGAACCCGAACACGAACGGTGTCTAACGAATGCTACTGCCTAAGATTACGTCTTGAGGCAACAAAAAAATCTTCCTTTCGACAGCATGAACTACACATTTAAAAGGGCTACAATAGCCCTCTTTGCATCTCAAACATTGCCAATTACGAGCATCCTTGACAAACACTCACCATAGCTTCTTCCTGGAAGCCTCGCAACTATGCTTTTTCCCAGATCCACTTTCGTTCTATATGAGTACGATCCCAGCCTGGCAGCTGCGGTGATATTTGCTGCGCTGTTCATTTTGACCACGGGATTTCACTTCTATCAACGGTTTCGGACCCATGCCAAGTACTTCAATCCCTTTATTGTTGGAGGAGTGTGTAAGTTAGACTTTTGGCTCGAGAGGTGTGTCGGTGTGTTTGCTACCATGTACTGACTTACGCTATTAAGTCCAAGTAATTGGCTACATCGCTCGCGCCAGAGCCCATTTTGACCAGACCTCAACGACTCTATACTCTGTACAAACCCTTCTTCTTCTACTGGCACCAACTCTCTACGCAGCATCGATATACATGGTTCTAGGGAGGATCATCACCTTCTTAAATGCGCCACATCTGAGCGTTATTCGAGTGAAATGGATGACAAAAATCTTTGTCTCCGGCGACATTCTGTCTTTTATCCTCCAAGGTGCAGGTGAGTTAGTCACTAGGTCCCTTCCTACACACCGGGATGTATATACTAACTTCATACCCCAAAGGCGGCGGCATAATGGCCAACGGCTCCACAAGCTCCATGAACATAGGTCAGTGGGTCATTGTAGTGGGTCTATGTGTGCAGCTACTTTTCTTCGGGGCCTTCTTGATTGCCTCAATTACCTTTCATTGCAGAATAAACCGAAACCCTACAGCAGAATCAGATAAGACAATGAGCTCCGCAAAAAGGTGCTTGCCGAAGGACTGGAGAGGTCTTCTATTCGCATGCTACTTTGTCAGCGTTCTGATCCTCATCCGATCGGTTTACCGTCTTATTGAGTTTGCGCAGGGTAATAGTGGCTATGTGATTAGCCATGAAGTTTTTCTATATGTTCTCGACGCGTCGATGATGTTTCTGGTCATGTTGACCATGAATTTGTTTCACCCGTCCATCGTTCTGCAAGATGGCGTTTATCACCAGCGTCTTGATCTTGACGAGCTCAGCTTGAGACGTGAGGGTAGAGATGTGTGATAAATGTATTTCCAACATTTTCCCTGTACCTAATTCACTAGAATTTTCCTTTTCATTTTTCTCTTGTTTTGTTTCCTCTTTGTTTGTCTTACCCCTTTTTTTTATGTATACTGATTTATGGTTTTCCCTTCTTCTGATACACCTTTTCTTCAAATTATTCTACTCTTCAGGATATGAAATCGCCACGTTGCTGAATAATAGTATGGCCTGATAATCTCCAACTCCTTGGGAGTAATTCAGTTGACCTGACGCAGAAGCCATCTTGCTACTAGATAAAAAAAAAATCGTAGTACATGAGATCTAGGTGCAGAGATATATCAAGATATTTATGTATTAATGTTTAATTTCCCCTCTACCAACTTTCTCCTCTCTCTCTATTTTCTTTTTCCTTTTTCCAAGTATTACTATTACCTTGCTTAGTAGAGCAGATAATATATCAAGAATAATACACAGATAGTCCCCAGATTGGATTGACTAATAGCTAGACGATCATAATAAGCGTCTAAATAGAAGGCAGCGGCTTCTGATGTTGGGGCAACACGCTCTATTCTTCACAATGCACATGTGCAGTGCAAGCAGGATATCTCATTCAGAAAAAGACTTCATTCCTCAACTTGAATTATACAAATAATACTAAATACTTGTTATAGCTCGAAACATCCTCCTATCCAACACTGGACTGTACGATCTAAACTAGTAACACCAGTCAACTAAGAGAGCGACGCTGCCTTCCCATCTGTACAATAAGTCGTCCATCCCCGCAATCTTACCCTTTAGTTACCAAGCTTGAACCCACCCCAGTTCAACCTCGTAAAAGTACCCAAAGGATCATAGCGCCCACGGATCTCTCTCATCCGCTGCACATTCTCGCCAGGGAATCCGGCAAAAGGATCCTGCCAATCCCCTCCATCACCCATGTAAATGAAGTCTCTGGCAAGTCCATTACGCTTGTTGATGCCATGCAGATGTTCCACCAACTGACGAACCCACGCCTCGACGCGAAGATCATCTTCAGCGTTGTCCCATCCTGTACTTAGTTGCCACCCTATCGAGAGCATGTTAGCATGATACCAGGTCCTACTGAGTATTGGTGAGGGGAAACTCACAGATCGTAGGCTCTTCTGCTAGTCCCCAGACATTACCGATCCCGTTGGTGTTTCCTACTTTGACAGCACTTGCAGGAGAAATATTGATAACGAAAGTAGGGTAGAGACCTTGGACATCGGCAATTTGGTTCACTGCTGCCTTCCACGTCTGATACATTGAGTACAAGACGTCAGAGTCGGGATACATTGAGTGATGGCCAAAGGTGACGCTACTATGTGGTTAGCTCTCTGGCGCCCGAAAACATAATGGGTGAGCGGGCATTTACCGGAACATTTGCTTGGGAGAGTCGAGGTTCGCAGCCCACTGCTTTGAGGTCGTTACATTATTGACTTTATACACTCCAGGGATAGCAGTGAAGTTGGCAAATTTGGAAGGAGGGTTGCTGATACCCTCTTGGACTCCCAAGAGTAAGGGTGAGACACTTCCAGTTGTGGCGTTGTAGGTGATGGTCAGAACGGATCCAGCGGCAATCGAAGTGTCACTATCGGCAACAACCCAGTCGCATGATGCTTTGATAAAATCGTGGACTGCTGTTTCATTGAACTCTTGGATTGTTGTGCTGATATGAGGCATGGAGTACGTCTTGAGGGTGAATTTGGTGACAATGCCAAAGTTGTTTGCCCCTCCTTTCAAAGCCCAAAACAGATCGGGATGCGAAGTAGCATTGGCGGCAACCTGCGTGCCATTTCCCAAGACGATGTCGTAGTTGACCACATTGTCCATGGCAAATCCGTACTTGTTGATAAAGTAGGATACACCACCGATCAGTGTCAAACCAGGCACACCAATGGTTTTCAGGCGTCCGCCGATGGCAGCACGACCATATGGATCAAGCGCAGAATACACATCATACCACGTCATCCCTGGGGCAACATCGATAGTATCGTTGTTCACTTGATATTCTTTCATGTTGTCGAAGGCCAGAAGCACGCCGCCGTCAATGTTGTTCGATCCGGGATACTAGATGGCATATAGGGTCAATGAGGATACAGGCTTCTCGCTAGGGGATTTCATACATTCATATGTCCTCCGCCACGAACGGCAAATTGAGCACCACATGTGGCAAAGAGACCGACAGCATCGGCTACCTGCTCAGCTGAAGTAGGAAGAAAGATGCATGCCGGGTCAAGGTCTGCTCGAATGTCCCAGTAGCTCGTGACCTGGGAGGTGTAGCTGGCCGACCCAGGGTAAACCAACAAGTTTGAGTATGATACAGCAAGCTTGCTGCATGCACACCTAGCGCCTGTTCCCAAGTCGACAGTGCTAACGGCGGTTGTGCCGGTTGCATTTATGCTTCTTTGACCAAGACCGACGAGGGATGAACTGAAGGCAGAGGGCGCCAACGAGGCGAGAACTAAGGTAGATTTCATTGTCAAATACACAACACTTTGATCCAAATTGACTTAAGGAAAGCGGATTGCCACGGCCAAAACGAGCTCTTTATAACCTTTTCATCTTCAGGCTATAAACCACGGCCAATGCTGAAATCTGGTTGCCTTCGGATTGTTTCCGATCCGATACATTTTATCGACACAAGGAAGATCATCAGTCTATTTCGAGACTGACTTTGCGTATATTTGCGCTGGGACACAAAAGACGAGCAAAGCAGCGTGGATGATGCGCGCCCATGGTCGTTGTATAGAGTGAGCGGAGTCTCGAGTGGGGCAGATCCGAGCCGTTGTCGGGTTCGGGTTCGTATCACGGGCTCGGGTTCGGGTCTGTCGCAGCACAGGAAGATCATCCATGCAGCCTAAAACATGTTGTTCCAAATATCTGAGAGTCTCATATTTGAGCGCATCGGTCGAACCAGCTGGTCCGTATTTTACAGCTGTATGTGGCCGGTCATGCTGTCAGGACTTGTTCCTGACACAGTGAGCCGGGTCGGGAGGATTGAGAATAGTATATTTAGCACTATGTAATGAAACTGCATGAAAGGACATCAACAAACTGCATCCCAGGGTGCAGCGAGAACAGCATATCCGACTTGGCTTGGCATCCTTACAATGAGAATATCAGGGCCCGAGGCTCAAGGCAATCTTTGCAGCGTGTCCTGGAAGGCTATTGTGTTGGTTCTATGGGATAGAACGGTATGGTCCTGCGGCAAGAGACCCGAGTGAAGTGAGATTAAACAGCT